CTAAAAAAATATATGAATTTAAATTTATCTGCTGTACAGCATAAAAGATCGAGTAAAAATACTGACATCCCCCCCCCCCCAAAATGACAATTTTTAAAATGTACCTGATTCGAAGACATCGAGTGCACCAGATGTCTATGACGGCGATTTGTCAATTGGTTAAGGCATGCCACAAATATACATGTACAGGCATCCAAACCGAATGCAAATAAAACAAATGATTTCCAACTATTGTAGTACTAGTTTGTACCAGATATTAATGTACATAATACTTATCCTAATATTTTTTTCAGACGGTCATGAATTCTTTCTAGTGACAGACAGTAAATTGCGTCATTTTACATTGGTCGAAGTTACCCACTGACGCCATATATGTATTCATGTAGGGATAACTTAGGCCGATTTCTGTTCAGCTGATTTGCAATTTAATTTGTAAAAACCTAAGTACTTTAAATTATGAGGATATGAATTTCATTTTCAAAATAATATTTGATAAATGTCACGCCAGGGATATCCATTGATTGCCTTTCCATACATGGTTTTTCTGAGGTGATAGTTCGTTGTATAGTGGCAAAAATATACTCGTCTGTAATTTTTCGGGTGATGAAGCCTATTCTTTGATGTAATTTTCCAATAATGGTCACAATAACGCGCATGGAAATAAAATTATTTTGGACACAATATATTTAAATTACGTTTTCTTTTTACATAACATAAATGTACATACATAATTATACGCCATAAACAATAGATATTAAGGTATTTATGAAAGGTCAAAATTAACATTGTGGTCGAAATTACACCATCCTACCCTATAACTTAAATACTAAAGAACGGCTTCTTTTACTATGTTTTTTCGATTGTTTACAGAATTTATGGGTCTCTGTAGATGTTTTCCCGAAAAATGAGAAATTGAATATAATTTTACATTTTTTTTAAAATTCACATTCAGTAAAGGATTAGGAACATGCTAAAAATAAATATCAATGACATTGTTTTTTAATTTTTCAGCTTGTCCACAACCTTTACCATGTTTACGGACAACCCTCGTATATTCTAAATATTTTTATCGGGTTAGAAATTTCAGCCCCGCTAGATCTCTTACATCAGAGATCAGCCCTTTTCCAAGATATTTCTTTGAAAGATCCTGTAATTCTGCTTTTTCTGCATTTCCAGATGGGAAAAAATAATTAGATTACATGATCAGTATGAACTGGTCTCTGCTAACGAAACAGGTTACAACATTGTCTTCGTTTGGAAGACTCACTATATAAATTGTATTTTACAGGAACTTGGATTTAATTCTACAAAACAAATGGTAATCCAAATTATGCTCATAGTTCCCTTTCTAATGAAGAAATTCTTCAAAATTATATGTCAGTTTTGAATATTTTCAATATCTCAAACAACCAATATTAATTTGAATTACCATATCAATACTGGATTCCGAAACTTCATACAAATCCTTGCAAAGATATATAGCGGGTTCTAGTAAACGTTCAAACAAGCTTATTTCTTTACTCCTCTATTCGATTTTCACAGTCGTGAAGGAGAAAATTCAAGAAAATAAAGGAATTGACGGGGTTAATATAAGTAATATTCCTAATTACAAAAGGGTCCAGACTTGTATTCCAACATATTTCTAGCTAAAGACTACACCTTGTATTTCCTACAAATATACATTGACTATTGCTTTCAAACTTTTTAATTACAAAATCTTTACAGGGCCTGGATATCGAATATTTAATATTTTTTAAGAAGTCGGTTCACTTTATGCATAAAATGGCCTGTAGATATAGCAATTGATTGATCAACAAATGATTATCTATTTGAAGCATTAAAATAAAATAGCGACTTGGTGCTTTCATATCCTGTTAAAAAAATTCTCCTGAAAGTTCAGGTCTTAGAGAACTGGCTTTATGAAATTGCAATGTTCTTGAATTTTTAATTAAACGGGTACAATTTAGTACTTTCAGAGAAGAAATTAACATGAGCGCATTTTCTGATCTAAAAAATATAACATGTCCATCAATCCGCAGAAACAGTCCTATCAATTATTAGTTGCATCTTAGATCAGAGGTTGCGCTCTATATCAAATATAAAAAAAAGCTTTAAAAATTGGCCGTTTTTGTAGACTTTTTCATAATAAAAGGAAATTGACACATTTCGTGACGTCATAATGCATTGACTAGCCAGAAAATGACGTCATTTCTTATAGATATGCATTGCTAACTAAAACTATGCAGTTTCAGTTTTTCAGAAATTCACAGGGCCAAATAAGGCAAAAGTGAACCTTTTTTTTTCCAAACAAGAATGGAATGAACTAGTATATCAATATTGGAATCCGAAACTTCATAAGAATCCTCACAAAGATACATAGCGGATTCCAGTAAATGTTCAACCAAGCCTCTTTCTTTACTCCTCACAAAGATATTAACACTAATGAGAGAGAAACTTCAAGTGTACTGTGCAACAATATATTCAAGAAGTGATTTAAATCAGATGTTGATTCTTAAAAATTCCAAGGAACGTTTGGACAATTGAAATCACAAAGTTTGACCAATATCAACAGCTCAAAAACTTACTTTTCAACTTTATACGCAACCATTCCCCACGATAAATTAAAGTCCAGGCTTTATGATATCATTGGCAGCTGCTTTTTAAATAAAAATGGAATTCGAAAATTTACTTACCTCGTCATTGATCATTTACAAAATTATTTCGTTAAAAACATTCTGATTGAACACACAAGTACTCTGAAGTTGAAATAAAAAAAATGTATGAGTTTCTGATTGACAATATCTATGTGGTTTTTGAAGAGATTGGGTCTTTCAACAATTTATTGGAATTCCCATATGGGTATCAATTGTGCCCCCATTATAAGCCAAACTATTTTTGTAATCATATCAAACAAAATTTGTCCAAAATATTTTACGTGAAAAGAAGAAAACGTTTGCTGTAGATTTAAGTCGACATTTAGATTTAACCAGTTTATATCCATTCTCATGTCGATTCGATATATCCCGGTGGGCTATAGACAAAAGATACCACAGAGTCATTATTTGGATATTTTACTTGAAAAAAGACTTTAGTGGTAATCTTACAAACAACTTTAATGTAACTATGATAAGGGGGTTTATATCTCTCCGTTGATTCGATACTCAAGAGAATGTTTTATGTATGTTCAATTTCTTACGCGAGATATATTATTGACAAACAAGTTGATGAAAGAAGTATATCAGCAATCTCGTTTAAAGTTATCATTTCGTATGTTCTATAGTCGATACAATCATCTTGTAAGCAACTACAATTTATCATTGAATAAAATACTAACTTTACACTAATTGTCAGACCATTATTTACACACTGAATTGAAGACGGTTTTTTTCCGATTTTTCGATCACAATGAGCACACTGCGGGTGTGACCGTTCAACAAGGGATGCTCAATCCTCCATGGTACCTGATCCTACCTCCGATGTTTTGCAGGTCCATGTTTGCTATGCTCCTATTTTGAGCTGTTTAGTGGACTTTTAAGGTTGAATACTGTGCGTTTTCTCTATATAATTTAATTAGTTTATTTTTTCATTGACTTTAAAAAATACACTGTAGATAACTAAAATTTATTCCTCTTTTTTCCCCTTCAAATGTGCAGATTTTATTGAATACATCTTAGGCCTTGTATAGCATTACGAAATCAGAACTTACATGGCATATCCCTGTAGTCTAACATTAATATAAAGATAATTTTACGAATTGTTTACATAGGACACTTCTTTTTCAGCATAAAATGCCCAGAATGATTGAGGTGCTGTTTTTCTTGTTCATATACATAGGTAAGTTAAAATACAGCTGAAATTCTTACGATTATTTTACATTAGAGCTGCTACTGTATTTGTAGATAAAATATAATATAATTTTCATCCTGAGAACTGCATAATTGATTATATAAAATAATCTAATTATGAGGTTAACAAGAGAAGTTTTGATTTTTAATCCCCAGTGGTATCTGACCCCAGCCCCTGATGTTCTTTTAGACGTCTGCGTTGTTTGCTCTGCTCCATTCGTATTGTTTTAATTGACTTCAGTGATTGATTTCTGTTTGCTATCTTCATATTACATTCCATTCCACTATGTAACTTTATGACAAGCAATGTATTTATAAATTACAAAAACTAGAGTCCGAACTAGTTTGTGTTAATTACACACGAGACCAATGATATTTAAAAGGAGTTAAATTGCAGAGATACATACTCAGCAAACTGAATATTATATATTTTGGATTGAGCTGTTCTACGCCAGGGAGAATAATAATTCGCGAATTGACGGTTAATCAAGAGATTTTACAAAAATTTCAGCACTATAAAAATAAAGGCGAGTAATTTTATTTTGCGTGTGATGTTTCTCGCGAAATTACACTATAATTAATTCTACGCATATATATAGGAATCTACAGACTGATGACCTTGAGGACATCAGCTCTTGTAGACATGTGATACTGAGAAAAAGCTACTGTTTTTCAATGATAAATATGGTATGTATTATTATGGTTTATTCAGATATATGATGAAACAATATCTTGTTTTCTTAGCAGGATACTCAGGATCTCTTGTATACACAGAGCCCGGAAAAGACTTTTGCCTCACTTTTTCGTTAATAGTAGCACAGCCAGGATTTCAATACATCTTCAGAGATAAATTGGCAATATGTCTTTACAGTTCTGAATCTGTTTTCCAAATTACAGATGGGTGGATGAATAGAACGTTTAACTGTAATGTAACGTCAGATCGGATTTCTATTTGTATTAACGATACACAAGTAGAAGATGCCGGGCACTTCTCCTACAGAATAGGTATTACTGACTACAGAGAAAACTTGACACTGGCTATTGCTGGTAAGAAATAGTGCTTATCATACTACATAGATAAATGAACGTGTTTTGTGAAAATATGTTATTATTAAAAAAATGAGTATTTACAATATGCTCAGTTTTCTAATGAGTGTAATCAATTAAATGTGCTTGCGAAGATAGACTTAGCCTCTACGTATCAAGTAAATCTCAGTCAATTATATATAAAGAGAAACTATGATAAAACAGTTCGTGAATTAAAAAAGAAAACATGGGTACCAATAGCGCCCCATTATTAGCAGACATATTTTCATATTCATATGAAGCAGAATTCGTATTGGTTTTTTGTTTGTTTGTATTTTGTTTAACGCCCCTCTCGAGAATTTTTCACTAATATGGAGACACCACCACTTGCTGATGGAGAACTCACCTACAGCGACATGGGACCATGGTTTATATGGTCTCATTCGAAGAACCAGTCTCGACGTCCCACAGTGGGATTCGAACCCGCGACATAAGGATTAACTCATTACTTCGCGACTCGAGAGCATACGCTCTAACCACTGCGCCAGGCGGGCGACAATTCGTAATGGTAATCTAACAACCAAGCTTTCTGGCAAACAAGATTTTTAATTTTCAATACGTAATATTGCTAGTACCTTACAGTTATCTTACTACCGCTCTTTTGCAGTATAGTAGAAAAGGCTCTTAATCTTGCAGGATTTCTTGGGCATGACATTGTTTACAGTTTTGACAACAAAATGTTTCGAAAAATCATCATACCGAAAGTAAAATATATTGCT